AGCGGGTGGAGAAGCTTTTGGACGCGCTTGATGTTCACCTTTATTTCTCCCCCCCCTTTCCCTGTAGTTACATCCGGTATTCCCAGATCTGTGCCCAGGTGGTGAGAGCGGCGATGAAGCCTCAGTATAAAGCGGAGGCAGAGAGGGCGGCGATGGCCAATGTGAAAACCGTGAAACCCAAGAAGGAATAAAACGTAAGTAGACTGAATGGGCTGGAGCGCCCGACGGTAGCCTTTTGCACCAGTGTTGATTTTCCCAGCGTGGGTTGGTCACCACAGGCTGTAACTGCTTGGCTCGTCTCATGCTGTGTGTGGAAAATTAGCTCTGATCTTCGTGCGTGAAACTGGACAGGTTGCTGACTGCTTTGGTGCAACTGCATCCTCGTTACGTAGGGAAACGTGTCATGTCATTAGCTCAGTAAAATGAGGTGTCTTTTCCATCAAACCCTGCTCCGAATGATTTGGTCAAAGTCATTATGGACATACGCAAAGCCACCGAGTTCCTGTAATGATGTTCATAGGTTCCTGTCTCCTACTTTAATAAGCCAACAGGCAGCCTCTCTGAACCCCTGATCAGCAGATGTGTTTGTGTAAGGGCTATCTTCTGTCTGGGAAAGACAGATGCTGCTTGTACCTTTATTTGTGACACCACACACATCGCGAGCAGCTGAAGTCTCTCCTAAGTAGGACAGCTTCTATTCCTGATCTGAGATTAAGTATTACTGCCTTCTGTTTGAAATGTACCTTATAGGTATTCTTGAATCGAATAACTTGTATTTCAAATCTCTTACAGGAACGGGTCTGTGGTGAATACTCATCATAGCAAACTTCAAAGCTGTTGGCAAGCTCAAGACTCGGCAGTATGATGTCATCACGTTAACTGCAAAACTTGCCTCTATGTAAATCAGCATGCTAATAAATGTAATTTCTGTTAAACAAATAATGCGTGGGAGGCGATGTTCCTCTTGAAACAAAGTACTCCATTTTGCAGACACATTTAGCTTTTGCCTGTGTTAAAACAGAAGACCCATTCAGTAGCAACATATGTTTAGGGCAGATCCCACGTTGGATTTTGTGCTGGTATTTCAGGTACGTCAGTGAGAGATTAAATCGTTTAAAACTTCTGCCTATTCTCTCTGCTGGAAGTGGTATGCTGTTGGCTTTAAAATTCTGTCACCCTGGGGTTCATCCTGTGTTTGTGCCTACGCCACCACTCGGTGCAACTCAGTTTGATGAGGTTGAGCATTAAGACTCAACTGGAAGCAGGGCATTTCACCATGGATGTGCTGCTCAGGGCTCGTCTCCACAGCTGTCTGGAACACAGCAGTGAGTCAGGAGCTGGAGATCTGGCTGGCTGAACGAGGTGGGGAGAAGTCCCTGGGCTGTACTCCAGCCGCTCAACTACAGCTTGTCCTTGTTTCCACTTTGTCACTTGGCTGGGAGGGAGAGGGATGTGCGCTCGCTAGGAGACCGCAGGAAAGTAGGGTGATGCTGCATTAGCTCTTGGCTGGGCCAGGGGAGGTCGCTTTCAGCTGCACTGGTGGGGAGGGTGTGTGTTCGTGTGTTCCTGCTGCTGTGGGTCTTCACAGCAAGTCTCACATTGTCCCACGGCACAGGAAGGAATGCAGCACGCTCACAGAATCGGCTTCAGGTTTGTGTTCATCTGCTGTTGACTCGCACCAGGCATTACGTTCTTCACTGTGTAAGAAAATCTCTCTTCTAAGAGCACAATAAAACAAGCTCAATTTTTTCGCCTTAGTCTTTACAAAAATAAACTATTATTTTTGTCCATCAAATGTATCACATATTAAAGTATTTTATAGAATGGTATATCCTTTTTATTTTAAAGAACACTATAAATACAGTCAACTAGATGGCTGTGAGTGGCAAGAAACTTTTTCCTGAAGACATGTTTTTGATTTAGTGATTAGCATTGAACTTGTATCTAAACTACCTGCAAACCATTCCATGCGTTTTGCTGTACTGAATGATGGGAAGAAAATTTGCAGTAGTTAGTACATGGAGGAAAAAAACCCCAACACACTAAAACTTATACGCCGTGTTCACAACTTCGTATGCTCATATACCTCAGGCTATAGTCTGAAACAGAAACAAACCACGCAACGATAAGGAATACAAGGTCCGCAATAATATAAGCCAGCTATGTGATAAAGCTAATAAAGTACCTCAAAAACCAGTAAGAATGTACATATGCAGTCCCTTGCCCCATGTTGTTTTCCCTCCCTTCCCTTCCCCCTACAAGTTAAGAAACAGAACTTATCTGCACCTCTGGATCAGTTTGTGGAGTGTGTAATAAAATAGATACTGCCTTTCCAGGCCTTCAGATGTGCATGTGTTCCTTGAACGGTAACAAGTTCACAAACAAAGCACAGACTGTTTACCTGAGAATAAATAAGTTGGGTGAGTTGACAGCCTATCTTGCTGTTGCTTATGATCCTGCCAGATACACACGCAGACACAGAGGCTGTATATTACACTCTGTATCTGGTGATAATATTCTAAAAGTGAGTTCATTTACAAGAAAGGCTGTTATGAGACAACTTGTCTTCATTGGCTCTTTTTTGGGAAAGATTCAGTGGCAACGGTTGTTCCGGAGAGTAAAGCATAGCTGCCATTAATGTCAAAAGCACTGTATTGTAATATTGCATATATCGTGGCCAGATGCAGAGAAAAAATACCTTAAGATAGGTGTTATCTTCAGTGTGCAGCTGATGGCTACTGCTTCTTCTTTAGTGAGTGTCAACAGGCTTATTCAGAGCACGTTTTGATGCTATTGTTCCTTTTATGGTGCTTCCTTCTCTGGGCTAGCTTCCACTTCTACCTCTTCATATTCCTCAACGTCTGCAGTGGCATCCTGGTACTGCTGGTACTCGGACACAAGATCGTTGGTGTTACCTTCAGCTTCAGAAAACTCCATCTCATCCATACCTTCACCAGTGTACCAATGGAGAAAGGCTTTTCTTCTGAACATAGCTGAGAACTGCTCAGAAACCCTGATGAAGAGCTCCTGAATGGCTGTGTTATTGCCAATAAAGGTAGCTGCCATCTTCAGTCCTCGCGGTGGTATGTCACACACAGCCACTTTGACATTGTTAGGGATCCACTCCACAAAGTAGGAACTATTCTTGGTCTGGACAGCCAGCAGCTGCTCATCCACCTCTCTGGTCGACATTCGGCCCCTGAAGATGCATGCCACGGTCAGGTACCGTCCCCGGCGGGGGTCGCAGGCTGCCATCATGTTGCGTGCATCAAACATCTGCTGAGTAAGCTCTGGCACTGAGAGGGCTCTGTACTGCTGGCTACCTCGAGCTGTCAGGGGAGCAAAGCCTGGCATAAAGAAATGCAGCCGAGGAAAGGGCACCATGTTCACAGCCAGCTTCCGCAGATCTGCATTCAGCTGCCCAGGAAAGCGGAGTGAGGTTGTGACGCCGCTCATCGTCAGGGACACTAAGTGGTTGAGGTCACCGTAGGTGGGATTGGTGAGCTTTAAAGTTCTAAAACATATATCATATAGAGCTTCATTGTCAATGCAAAAGGTTTCATCTGTGTTCTCTATTAGTTGATGGATGGAGAGGATGGCGTTATACGGCTCTACGACGGTGTCAGATACTTTGGGAGAAGGCACAACACTGAAAGTGTTCATAATCCTGTCGGGATACTCTTCTCTGATTTTGTTGATGAGGAGCGTGCCCATACCTGAGCCTGTACCACCACCAAGCGAATGGATGAGCTGGAATCCCTGAAGGCAGTCACAGCTCTCACACTCACTCCTGACCACATCCATGACGTTTTCAATCAGTTCAGCACCTTCTGTGTAATGGCCTTTAGCCCAGTTGTTTCCAGCACCCGAATTACCTGTAAACACAAGTGCAGAAAGAACAGCCACAAAGTTAACGAGCATTTTCAAAGGCTACGAAGAAGGGAGTTAAAATGCCATTTTCAGGACAGTTGACTCTAGCTAGTTTGCTGACAGCATGCTGTACATACCGTGAATAAAATTGTCAGGTCGAAAGAGCGGGCCTATTTTGCTAGATCGTACACTGTCCATTGTACCCGGTTCCAGGTCCACCAAGATAGAACGAGGCACGTATTTATGGGCTAGGACAAAAGAAAATGAATGCAGACAATTACTGTTACAAGTCAGACACAGGCTTATAAACTACTCTGAAAAATCCAACCCACCTACAGTGATTTGGGAATATGGGGGGAGGTGGGGTGGGTATGTGTGTTAATTATTTATTTTAACCTTTACGCTGTCTCTGCAAATTGCTCTGCCAACACCCTCACAGTGCTGAGCACTTACAGTAAGCCTCATTGAAGTACACGTTAATTCGCTCCAGCTGCAGTGATGCATCCCCACGGTAGTTTCCAGCGATGTCAATCCCATGTTCATCACTTATCACCTCCCAGAACTGAAAAAGGAAAAAGTTCAACACACTCACAAAGATTATTTTGTTTTCAGCACGATACATTGAGCATCGGCGCTGCTGTGCTCACGCCTGACAGCACATAAAGTGGGAAACGTGCCTGAAGTGGGGGATGTTTTGCCATTTAGGTATTACACCAGGGCAGGGATCCCCCTCTCTCCCCTCCCCAGATGATAAGTTTTAGGGAAAAGTTTAGTAAACCATGTATGCTGCTTAGCTATCACCCATAGCTCACAGGGGGATGCCCTCAATTTGATCCCTTTAGAGTGCAGAAATACTGATATTAAATAACACAGGTATTAGTTGGTATGAGCTTAACAAAAAATGCAAGGGGGTGGGGTGGATTGGGGAGCGTTGCTTTGAGGCCTGTCATGCACAAGTGGGACTGTGGCATGCCGCAGCTGACTGAGACAAATTTGTACGTGAGCAATGCTTTCCGCAAACAGATGTTGGTCCTACGTCCTATCTTGACACTCATATGGATGTCTTGTACTGGGGCTCTTATCTAGGCGGCAACCACAGCAGGGTTAATGTAGACACACCCACCCACTATAATGACCAGGCTATTTTAATTTTAAAGATCTTCTGGTTTAGCATCCAGTCTCATTTTTAGGGTACAAGTACACATGTGCATGGTGTCTGTGTGTGTGTGTGCTTTTCTACAAGTCTTACTAGTCATAAGCAGTTTCCCGGTCAAAGCCCATAAAAAATACCCCAAAAACTTTCAACTACGACACTGGCTGCATTCAAATTATCTGAGTCCAACATGACATTCCCCGGCCATCCACAGCTTCATGTTCCAATAAAAGGAATCGAGGAGAGATTTGTGGGAGCAAGAAATGGAGGAAGAACACAATGAAACAATCCTTCAGCTTTCATGTGCCCTCAAAGACCTCCCAGACCCAAATTAACCCAGACACTTTCTTTGACAACTCACTACTACTAATAATAATAATAGAGATGGATGTCACACAGCAAAAAGCAATGTGGTGGGTTTTTTTTCTCCAAGCACACAAAGTCAGCACTGAATGCCTTCCCTAAGTAAAAGCATGGCAGAGTCTGAACTACACAAAAGTACTCCAAATGGCATGATCACCTCTCACAGGAGGCCAGGCAGGCAGGAAAGAGCTTAATTAACTGTGCTTAATGCCACTCTCAGGAAAACCTAATTGGTCACTGATAGCACAGGTCATTCTGTTGACTCATACCATCCCACAGTAATTACTATAATGTGGCAGAGTCACTGCTGTATGGCTGAACTAAGCACTGGCATCACAAGTCTGCAGCCCTGGAATTACCGGCTCCTGCAACTTGGCCCAGTATTTTGCAGACTAGATTAGTGCCTCTGGGAATAGGAGTCCCAGCA